AAAACCTTACCAAGAAAAATCCAATTGAGATAAAAACTTGACAAGAAAAAAAGAGTGCAATCATTTTGTGACGAATTATAAATTTTACAAACTTACAAAGTTATACAAATACAAATAATGTCAAAAGTAAATACATATTTATAAATTACAAATTTACAATTTAATTTGAAGCTAAAGGATCATCTTCAAAATTAAATGTTAATCGATTAAATTCATCAATCCATTCTTGGCTTGCCAGCGAAATTGTATCATGTAGACGTTGATCAGCCCGATCCCAATCCTTAATGCAAACCAAGGCTTCAACCTTTGCAATGCATTCCGGCGTTCCTCAAGTATTCTTCCTGTCGTACTGAAGGCTTGTTCGGATGAAACAGTGGAGACTGGGATCGAAAATATATCCATTGCCAATCGAGTTAGGATTAGGCAAGTTAATGCTCATGCCCTCCGCCATTGAACTAAGTCAAACGATTCTGCCATACCGTGGACTACTACGCCTTCACTGAGGTACGCCATAAGCTCGTTGAAGCTACCGCTGCCACTTGTTGATGAAGATTCACTCCCAGCTTCTGTTTGAGTTGTCTTATTCTTCTTCTTCAACCCGAAAACATTCAAGAATGAATGCGAGTTTTCATCTTGTTGTTGCGGTTCCTGTACTCTATGAGGTACTCTAAACCTAATCTCATATTTACTATAGATTGAATATATATTTTCCTTTATTATTGGATATTTTTTCCTAATATTCTCTTATCTAAATCAAATCCTTTAAAGTAATGTCCGATTACAACTAAATAATCTTTATTAGCAACGGCAGACCAAATATATGTCGTTAACACAACGCACCCGCTAGTCAAGTGTAAAAGGTTTATGAATGCTTATTTTTCTCTTTTAAATAATTTTAATAAATCTTTTCTAAGAGTAGTTTTTGAAGTAAACTGTGCATTAGGATTATATACAACCTTAATATATTGTTGCCAATTAGGATGCTCTACAAAACTAGGTGGTTGATCTAAAGCAGCTATCATTCGTGCAACTTCCATACGATCTACTTGTGGATCATATTTCCAAGTGGTTAGACCACCGGTTGCGCAATCAAAAGATAATTGTGTTTGGCGGAGTTCGGGTCCGCCGAATTGGCTAAGCTTTTGAAGACACTTTTTGGAGTGTCTTCTCAAGTGTATGGTGCCGTGAATAGTGTCACCTTGTAATTTAGATAAACAATATTTACACTGAGCTATATGTTTAGTGTTACCTTCATTGTCGATCTCCTAAATTATGTTGAAGTGATCCCAAACTGTCGAGGTGCGCTTGCATTTCCTCCTAGAGGTTGTAACACTTGCAGACGCAGTCGCACTGGCACTCGCCGTTTCTCCACGCCCACCACCATTGCGACCATAACCTCCAGTATGTCCACCAGGGCTCGGATTAGTAGATTCTTGCATAACAAATTCATTAGCGGGAAATTACCCTTCTTCCACGTTGTGTTGGGCATCAACGGGAATACCACTATAACCAAAAAGATTCATTTTAGAAAAAATAATAGCGATTTGAGATAGAGAGAGCTTTAGGATAATGTGATAGTTTTTAGAAAAATTGTAATAGAGATGTGAGAGATTGAGAGAAATTGAGAGAGATTGAGAGAAATTGAGAGGGATTGAGAGAGTTTGAATGAGAAAAATGTGTAGGAGATGGGGGGTATTTATAGGGAAATTTTTGGGTTAAAAAATTGATTTTTTTTTCAAAAAATTCAGGCTGCAACAGCTAGTTTAGGGTTCGGCGGGTTCGGGCAAAAGCTAGCCGTTGGACGGGTTTTCGGGCATCTCGGGTATTTGGGTAAAATTTGAGTTTTTAGGCAAAATTCAGGCCGGGCAGCCAACGTTCGTATTTCTGACCGTTTTTCATGATTTTCGGACATTCGGACGGGTCGGGCATTCGGGTAAATCGGGCTTGGCCAGAAAAATTCAAAAAAACTCCGGCGGACGGCGGTTAACGGCTCCTATACGGCGGCAGGCTCCGGTGAGGTGCCCAAATTCGGGCTGCCTGAGCCCGAGCCTGAAAATTCACTTTGGTTGGGCCGGCAGATGGGCCTGCCCGCCGAGCTCAAAAAATTCAAACAACGGGCCTGCCCGCCGGCCTAAAATTCCAACACATGCACTCTTAAAGGTAAATTCTCTATTTTTTCTAAAAAAAATTTAACTATATGGTTTACTTCCCACATGCAAAGCACGTGAACTTCTAACCATTTCTCCTAAAAAGAAGTTCTTTCCATAATTCCATTTGTCCACCAAATTATGTTTACAATTTGCTGTTTTCCTTCCAAACCACACGTATAATCTCTTGCTACAAAATTATTCTATCTCTTTGACATTTTGAAGGTTCTCTGCTGCACACCAATAAAGTATTAATCATCATCTCCTTTGGAAGTTAAGGAACTTGATACCGTACGCAAAAACGAAGAAGAAGAGGAGGACCCAAGCAACATGAGCAAGCACCACCGGGAAAAGGAAATCATGGTCGTAGCCCAAGTTGTCTTTGAGGAATTTATTCACCGCCATTGTTTCACCTCCGGAAAGCTCAAGTTCACTCTTGACGTCTCCTATTTGGGACGCGAAAAGGCCGTAGATTGTCCAGGAAACAGGCGAACCCCAATAGTACCACCTCCACCACACGGGGATTAGCTGTGAAAATTGCATATTCAGAGTTACGATTGGGAGAGCAAAGAAGCGCTCGTGCTTTTCGGCCAAAGAAAATTCGACGAGTTGAATGAGAGAATGACAATGGTAAGAAGAAGAAAAAACAAGTTGGTTCCAGATCACTTACAGGCCTGGGAATCATGAAACCGGAGAACAAGTTCCAGAAGCTGAGGAAGAATGACATTACGATTGCAGCGATTTGGTGGCCAGGAGTCAAGGCGACAACCATCATTCCATACATTGAGAAGTAGGTGAAACACATGAAGATGAAGTAGTAGAAGTAGAAGAACTTTTCGCCCGTCCATTCATACCCAATCATCGAGTACAGAATCATTGAGTACACAAAGGTTTGGATTAGAACATAGATCGTCTCGATAGCCACCTGAACCATTGAAAATATGAATCAATAATTGGATAAAGAAGATCAGAATTTAGGTTCTATGGGAAGGTTATAAGTAGTAATATCTTACTTGAGCAAATGCATAAGGCAACTCCGAGTACATCCCAGCCGCTCGTTCACGATAGAAGACGGTTCTCTCAATCGAAACCACAGGTTGTACCGCAGACGCATTGCTAGCTCCAAGGAAAAGAACAGCAGCATAGGTAGCACCCAAAAGATTGAGCAAGTCTTTTTGGCTTCCTCTGTCAAGAATAGATAATGCAATAAAACCTTGAGCAAGTTTGAACTATTTGTAACGAGACTTCGGAAAAAGGAAAAAAGATCAAGTGTTGTTCATGGTAGTTAAACTTACAACTGGCCTCCTTTGTCCCAGAAAATGACTCCAAATAAGACACCGATCATGACTGTCGTGAAGAATCTTATGGCATTGAATTTTGAGTTCCTCCAGTATGACCAGTGTTGTTTCCAGAAACAAGCCTTGCATTGAGTAAAGAAGCTGGTGGAGTATTGGGTGGGGAAATAAAGATCCTTGCTTCCGAGTTGCGGGGTGCTCAGCTCCTTGATGAGATTCTGATTTCTCCTGCATATTTTATGATAATGGAGGATAAACTCAATACATGCGACAAAGAAGGTGGTAAGATTTGAATTGAAAATGAGAGAATTTTTGGTAATTCTTACTTGTAGAGATCAGAGTTGGCATAAATTTCTGCGAAGTCAACGTTAAGCTGAGATTCAACCGCTGTGGAGCTAACCTCCAACATCCAGGTAGCAGGGTTGTAACCCTCTTTGATCTTTGGAACACCGGGAATAGCCTGCAAGAGTTTCGATGTCAGAAAAACATGACTTTTAGTCTAAAATGTATAGAAGAACAAGCCTTTCCATATCAGATAACAAACCTCAAAGTATTCAACAAGCTTATCGGAATGGCGACCAAGTTCTCCTGCATAAATCACTTGTCCTCCTCTTTTCATCAATAAGAGCTGCAATATATCAGCAATGTCGAAATTAGCACATAGCATAACGGAATATATCAAAGTTGAAGGGATCGGAAACTGATATATACCTCATCAAAAGCTTCAAAAATGTCGATGCTCGGTTGGTGAATTGTGCAGACAACAGTTCGTCCAGTATCCACTGTGTTCCTCACTGTTCGCATAACAATTGCGGCTGCTCTAGCATCAAGACCCGATGTGGGTTCGTCCATAAAGATTATGGAAGGATTAGCAACTAATTCAACAGCAATTGTGAGCCTCTTTCTCTGCTCAGTTGAGAGTCCATCTACTCCTGGAAGTCCAACTAGAGCATTTCTCAATGGTTTAAGCTCAACCAACTCCATGACTTCTTCGACAAACATCTGTAAGAAACGAAAAAGATAGTCACAACATATCAATCTCATTTTTTTTGTTGGTTTCTTGCAATCAATTTCACTTCAAAATTTCAGCTAAGAGGTTAAATTTGTTGTAAGATATAATCAGCTGATCATCACAAAGTTTAAAATTTACTGCTGGCGCTCTAATGACAGTTATGAGAAATAACACACCTTTCGTGTTTCTGTCTTGATGTCTGCGTCAAGACGCAGCCAAGCAGAGTAAAGGAGAGACTCATAGACAGTAACATATGGTGAATGGACGTCATTTTGTTCACAATAACCGGTGACTCGAGCAAATGTGGCTTGGTTCTTTGGGTAACCAGAAATGCTTATGCTTCCTTCAATGTATCCACCGGTCTTTCGTCCTGCTAAGACATCCATCAAGGTGGTCTTACCAGCACCACTGACACCGACTAATGCGGTCAAAACACCTGGCCTGAAAGCACCGCTAACATCTCGTAGCAATTGCAGGCGGTCCTCTTCAATCCCTTGGGCCTTCATTTCCTGGTAAAGACAAAAGCTTTTGTTAATAAAATGTATTTATTTGGTTTCTTAGGATCTCACAGGAGCTCAACATTTTTTCTACCAAAATAAATCACTGCAGTTTGATTTACATTAAAATTTTTTGCAAGTTTTATTGACGAACACATTCTTGAGAGAAAAAAAAATCCTCAGAAAAGCAGCTTACCGCAGGCATATCTACATAGTAATTCACATGGTTGAAAGCCAGGGATAGTGGTTGGAAGGGCAAACCCATTCCTCGTTTAACTTGATTATTTGCTGCATTTTCCATTGATCTGCTATTTCCATGAGCATTTCTCACTTGCATATCAATACCTGTAATTTTTTGTTGAAAAATCAAATAAGAAAGATAGTTTAGATAGACAAAAAGTTTACAAGTTATAATAAATAGAACTGAGAAGTTATATTACTGACCTTCAAAACTGCATTGTTGCGTTTTCTTGTACTCAGATTCGTCGTCCACAATCAAAGTTTTAGTGTCGCCAAAAGCTGAAATTGTCAAAACCAAGAACAAAAATCAATAGTTGGATTTATTGCCATTACTCATAGCATAAGAAAATTAACCACGAAAAGAAAAAAATTCCACTTACGACTCAAGTAGGTAAGTGCTGCAATGAAAAGTCCATTGAAAAGAAGAGAGAACCCCAAGAGCGCTCCAATACAAATCCAATACCAATATTCTTCCTTAAACAAGCCTCTTTCATCTAGAAGGATCTTCCCAACAGTCGTGTTTCCAACACGCTGTGGCGAGAATAAAATGAGGACAGTTTTTGACAATATATGGAATATAACATCAATGTATTGGGAGAAAATCAAAAGACATTTTCAAATTTCACACCAAATCTTAAGTAGGTTTCTTATGCTTTGTGAACTTACTTTGCTCCATCTTTCATCAAGAAATTCATTAATGGCGATCGCATTTTGTCCATACATCATAGGAGAAACATAGTAGCCCCATATCATCCATGGCTTAATGTCATCTGTATACCGACATAAAAACAATTATCTAATAACACGTTTGAGCATTGAAAACATATGAAGGAACTCAGCATTTGTCAATGTATTTATTTAGTCACGATTCAAGCAACCAATGTATAAAAAAAATGATGTACGCAACAACTTTATTTGACAAGAAATTAATAATTTGACAATGAAGTGAGAACACTCTAACCTTTGGCAACAATGTAACCACCGAGGACAAACACCAATAGAAGGGTGAAAGATCCAATTGTGTTGGCAACAACCTCTGTTCTTCCGAGGGCTGCAACAAAACGGAACAACGAAAGTGCCATCTGATGAACACCGAAGAAAGCCAGGAATTGTTTGAAGAACCTGCACAAATTTAACGCATGCCAAACTACTAAAATCTCCAATTCTATTTAATAATTAAGTGGCATCACAAAGTGAATGACACAAGTATTAGCCCTTACCTGCTTGCAGCAGGCGCAAATCCAATGGTGTAATACGTGAGAATGATCCAAATGCCGGACTCGAGTAGTGAGATGGGAATCCTCAATGCCCAAATTGGCAAGCCAAAAGCCCAAGCAGGGTAAAACAAAGAATCCCTTTGTTTGTAGAACACAGGAAGCCTGAAGACCGTCATAGCAAGCTCTGCCATCCCATTGAACATGACGTTGATGAGACTGAAAAACAGTGCTCCCCAGAACTTTGATCCATCTCTTACTTCGCCGGATTTCATTTCTGTTCTAAAGAACACAGTCAAGGCTATTGTAGCCATGATTGTTATCTGAGTTGTCTTGAATATGTAAATGAAAGAGTTACGCTTCATCAGCAGCCATTCTCTCGCGAACCCGGCCTTAAGGAGTTCCATATTGGAGATACCATACTTTTCTGTTACAAGTGCAGCAGGATGGGTTGACCTTTTATCATAAGGGATTCTCACATCTTCAGAGAGCCGCTGGCCAACGTGGAAAGAGCCGAAGGCTAATACAAATTCGGTCACAGAAACGTATGTGTAAGGTTGATACTTTCTGTACCAGTATTGCTCTTGATCCTTTTTGGATGTAACTTCTTGCAGAAAGTCAGCTACACCTTTCCTATCAGGGCATCTAAAGCCCATATGCTCAAAAAATTCAAGAACATTCTCGCTGGGACCTTGGTAGACGATCTGGCCCTCAGAAAGAAGGATAATGTCATCGAAAAGATCGTAAGTCTCAGGTGCAGGCTGCAGAAGCGAGATGACCATTGTCACATCCATAATGTGAACCATCTGCCTCATGAACTTGACAATTTGAAAGGTTGTTGAACTGTCCAATCCTGTTGATATTTCATCCATGAAAAACGCTTTCGCAGGTCCAACCAACATTTCTCCGGTAGTTACACGCTTTTTTTGCCCGCCAGAGATACCTCTTCTCATTTCATCCCCAACCATAATATCTGCACAGATATCTAATCCAAGTATCTGAAATTTCCACACACAAAAAAAAAAAAAAAATCAAACATGTTAGGATTGTAAAATATAGAGAGGTGATAATCGTAAAACAATCTTCAAAATGGAGGGGGACAAACCTTGAGAACATAATATGTGATCAAACTAGTTTCCTGCCCTTCCATAGCTGTGGCTTTCATAAAGGCATCAATCTCAGGATCCGGTTTGATTCCCGCGGCTTGCTCCCTTCTAGACAACTCTACTAGCAGGTCGTACCTGGTTCCAACTCCGAGGCAACGACCAGAGAAATCCAACGTCTCACGGACTGTCATTTCACCAGAGTGAAGATCATGCTGGCTGATATAAGCAGAGGTTCTCTGAGGTATAAACTCGTCAAATTCATGGCCACAATAGGTCACTTGTCCACTCACCTGTTTATTTATCAGTACACATGCAAAATTAATCTTGTAGGCCTACGAATATACAATAGACTTCAATTGATACATTATCAGGAGATAAAAAAGGAGAGAACAAACCCTTAGATCATCATCGAGTTTCGCAGCAAGTGCTCGTAATAACGTTGTTTTCCCCGAACCAGGGGGCCCTAAAAGCAATGTCAACCTAAAAATGATTTGAAGGATTAGCTTGTAAAGGGAATATAAAAGAACAAAATACACACCCTTATGTGAATCTATTGATTCATCAAAAGTAAGATTAATCCTGACTACACAACTTATGAGCATACCTTGAGGGTTTTACTATACCACTCACATCTTGGAGTATCTTTACAACTCTTTTCTTGGATGGTGTGAGTCCAATCATTCCGATTATCCCCTATTCAAACGTGTTACATATTGGAGATCAGTGATTTTCCTAACAAGAAGGAAAAATAAGTTGGTGTGACGTGAAAAATTGTAAAATACCTCTATCATGTTCAGAGAGGAATTCAATAGAGTAGGAAGTGCTCTGGTTCCCACATATGCGTCTCCTTCAATTGACAAATTCCGAAATCGAACTTCAACCTTCGGAATCTCAATGCCTACTCTGTTGCCATGAATCAATAAAAAAAACAAATACAATCATTAATGACTATTACAAGTTTGAATTGATGGTTTTTGCACTGTGGAGAAACAAATATGTTACAGATCCAAATTTTTTGAATTTCCTATGTCAGCAACTAAAATACACTCTAGTTTTCTCATAGCCCAAAACAATCAAACATGTTTCAAATATCTGGGATTGAGGTTGTTATATGTTTCTCTTTCTCAAGTCCTCAAAATTATCTAGATTTCAACTACTGAAATTTCTCTCTTTTCCGACCCTCTCCAGAGCAACGAAAAACAGAACAAAAGACGGGCAAAACCCATGTTCCTCATCTTTTCATCCATTTTCTCACAAACCAACTGCCACCTAAAGAATTCAAAGGAAAAAAAAAAAAAAAAAAAAAAAAAAAGGGGTAGAGGAGTTAACCTATCATTTCTGGCTCTGAGTTTGTGCAAAAACTTCTCATTATCATCCTCAACAACCTTAAGTATGCTCTCCATTAACTGCTTCTTGTCGTGAGTCCCAAGCTTTGTCACGTCAACTTCTTCATGCATCACCCTCCCATTGCTCATCACCTGAGTCAACATGCTTCTCCTCATCCGGTCATACGTCGGCAGGCGCTCTATCGCAGCCCACCGCAGCTCCTCCTCGTCGTCCGCCGCCCCCGCCTGCCTCCCGCTGCGCTGGAACACGTCCGGTGCGTTCCACATTTCCCTCATGCTCGACGACCGCCGGCTCCCCCGGCTGCTCGTCTGCCGCGCCAGGTCATCGCCCACCAACGCTGCCGCGGCCGACGACATTCTCTCCTCTGAATCGGTCAACCAATCAAACCCCACTTCAAAACTCGATGTTTTCAAATAAAGAGTATGTAACAAATCACTAATGATGTTTTTGTCTTTGCAGAGAGAGAGAGAGAGAGAGAGAGAGAGAGAGAGAGAGAGAGAGAGAGAGAGAGAGAGAGAGAGAGAGAGAGAGAGCGAACATGCCTGTCCTCACCCGGTCATACGTCGGCAGGCGCTCTATCGCAGCCCACCGCAGCTCCTCCTCCTCGTCCGCCGCCCCCGCCTGCCTCCCGCTCCTCTGGAACACGTCCGGTGCGTTCCACATTTCCCTCACGCTCGACGACCGCCAGCTCCCCCGGCTGCTCGTCTGCCGCGCCAGGTCATCGCCCGCCAACGCTGCCGCCGCCGACGACATTCTCTCCTCTTGATCGGTCAACCAATCAAACCCCACTTCAAAACTCGATGTTTCGAGTAAAGAGTCTGTAACAAATCACCAATGATGTTTTTGTCTTTGCAGTAAGAGAAGAGAGAGAGAGAGTATTTTCTGACTATGGAGATATGAATGAATTATGAAAGCAGAAAATATCTCTGTCCAGAGAATGTCTTACGAGGAATTCTTTTCTTCATTATATAGAATTCTGCGTACAAGGAAAAATGTCTGTCCAGACTTTGCATGTTTTTCAAATGTTCTTTGTACTGTTTTTGTTCGTTTTTTTGGTTTTTTTGGGAAAGAGCTTTAGTTGACCATAGAGTCCACCCCAAGTCCCAGCACGTTACCCAATTGTGCTTTATGTTGTTGTCTTGCAGTCTGGTGTTCTTAGCCGTTGGATGAAATATGAACGTGTTTTGTAGCGCGATCGACGGCTTGTAAGGGCAGTGGTTTTCTGGATTAATTTATCACTGATTTACTGTGGAAATACTGACTAGCCGTGTATGTGAGAACGGAGGAAATGGTCCAAATTCCAAGTGCTGTCACAGCAAAACAGAAATAAATAAGAGAAAAAAATTCCAAGTGCCGTCTTTTGCGGACCAAATGCCAAAAAAAAGGAGCAAACTTGTATCAAATGCCTAACCTTTTTATCTTGTCTTGTGTAATCAAATTAATTAAAGAAACAAAAATAACAATTACCACTTGGAGAGGCTGAGGAATGAGATTATCACTTCTTTTCTATAATTATTTGGACATAAATTCCCTAATTTGTTTGTTCTCGTTGTCTTTATTTTATTTTATTTTTTTTCAATGCTGGCCTAATAGGACAACCAATTTACTAACTAGTATTACTGCAATGCATTATGCTTGGAAAGCAATCTTAGGCCTCGTTCACTTCACGAATTTGAGTTTTTAATTTGAGCTGAGATGTGATATTTTTTTAGAGCTTTTCACTGTAGCAAAAAAAAAGTTAGATGTGACATTTTCTGAGAGCTTTTTACTGTAGAAACCTAAAACTGAAAACTCGAATCGGTAAAATGAACGAGGCCTTAGTCTCATTTAGTTCGCTGACTCGAGTTTTTAATTTGAGTTGATATGTGATTTTATGTAAGTACTTTTTACTATAGTAAAAAAATTAAATGTGACTGTTTTTTAGAGCTTTTTACTGTAATAAAACTTAAATTTTAAATTCGAATCGGTGAAATGAACGGAGCCTTAATATATACTTTTAGAAAAATATTTGAAGACACTACCGCTGTGTTAAGCACAATCACTAATAAAAAAAAAAAGTGAGCCTCACCTACGGACTCACATTCTATTAAAAAAGCGAGCCCCACTTACAGACTCATATTCTATTAGTAGATGGTGCTTAACACCATCAGTACCTTATAACAATGCTCATATTTTTATTACTCTTTTATTACTTGCATGAGGCTGAATTTTTATCCTTTATTATTGATTAATACATTTTTAATTAATATTATTATTTGACAAAAAAAATATATTAATTAAAAATAAAAAATAAAAGTTTAGGCACATACACTTTAAAGGGTTATATGTCTCATTTTTCTTTGTTTAACTAATTAATCGTCGGCTACGTTTCGTCCAATTTGTGGAATTTTTAAGCACTTCAAGTACCAGTTTCCCACTTCAACTCATATATTAATTATTTTCCTGTTATGGAGGATGAGCAATCCAAGAAGAATGCCTTGTGTTCTGTGGCCAAAATTTGGCATGAGAATGACAACTGAGACCTTTTTTTTTTTTTTTTTTTTTTTTTGGAGCGCTCTAAGTCTTGAAAAAGATACCAGTAGCCAAAGATATATATATATATATATATATATACCTAATCAAATAGAAAAAGTAAGATCGTATAAATATATATTCTTCTAGCTTTGACCCAAAGTGAGTTTGGCAAACGTTTCTCCACCATTAACAATTTTGCTTCTCTCAGACATATATGGTAGTAGATCAACGCTTTTTTTCTTTAGCATTATAATATTTCCTTTTTCTTTTTCTTTTTTTTGATGAAAACTGATCAATTTTATTGCTCTATGGCTGCAGAAGAAACAAAAGCAGGAATAGGCTCCATGCCTAAAACATCAACTCCAGAATTAAAAGGTAAAACCATTTAAGGGATTCGAGTTTTTAATTTGAATTGAGATGTGACATTTTCAGAGAATTTTTCACTGTAGCAAAAAAAAAAATTAGATGTGATATTTTTCAAAAAAATTTTTACTGTAAAAACTTAAAACTGAAAATTCGAATCGATAAAATGAACGAGACAATGATAAACTACCATATTCCCTTGACGGACGATATATTCTTAAGCCATCTCCAACTGACAGCTCTATCTTAGAGTTACTCTATCTTTAAAAAAGAATAATTTCACGCCGTCTAAAGAGTTTCTCTCCAACTTATTTACTCTAAACTTTACTCTAAAAAGAATATTCTTGACACATTCTCTTTTTATATTCATTTTTCATATTTTTTTCTTGCTATAGTAATATTAATGATTAATTTATTTTACCTATTGTGCAAAGTACATATTAATGTAATAAAATAACATATTATTTAAGCAACTCGTAATAGATAATAGATTAATAATATTAATTAAACATAAATTTATTTAATTAAATGCAAACTTACATTAACTAAACAAGTTGACAACCGAGCATTAATTTAATAATACAACATAAACACACACAAAAAGGGAACACTTTTGATCATGTTTTTTAACTTGGGGTAAAAATTATGGAAAAAAAAAATGCAAATGGGCTCTTATTTCAATAAAAAAAAAAAAGAAAATTGGCGCAAAAGCGCATGGGCCAAGGCAGCGCCATTTAGTGCTGAAACTTTAGACGGGCCGCCCGCGACCGCCCGAAAAGCCCGAGGATTTGCCCGAGCCCGAACCCGACCCGCCCGAGATTTTGGGGCCGCCCGCCCGAGCCCGAATTTCACCTTGAACGGGCCGCGGGCTTGTATTCAGCGGCCCGAGCCCGCCCGAATTGCCTGAGCCCGCCCGAATTGCCCGAATTTTTTAAACTTTTTTTTTAATATTAAGTTATTTATATATATATTAGTATTACAATTTATATATATATATATATTAAATTTGAAATGAACACACGAACTATATAAAAAAATTATTTCTTTATTAATTTTTAAATTTGTAATTCATGATTGCCTCATTAAAAACCTTACCAAGAAAAACCCAATTGGGATAAAAACTTGGCAAGGAAAAAAGAGTGCAATCATTTTGTGACGAATTACAAATTGTACAAACTTACATTGTTTATTAAATTACAAATACAATGTAAAAAGTAAATACATATTTACAAATTACAAATTTACAATTTAATTTGAAGCTGAGGGATCGTCTTCAAAATTAAATGTTAATCGAT